TTACTGGCCTTAGTGTATTCTCATTGAGAATACACGAGAATACACAAATATCTAATATTCGAAGAATGTGCTGGGCTTAGTGTATTCTGGTATATTGTAGAACAAAACACTTATCTGAATCTTTTTGGACACTGTGGCGACTTTGCGTTTGCCGCAAGGTCAAAAATCGAAGATGTCCTTCTACCCTCTCATGCGGTAACACCGATAGAGAGGGCGAGAAGGATAAGGAGATAGAGAGGACGTGGAGGATAGGGGAGACGAGAAGGATAAGGAGGATAGAGAGGACGAGAACGATAAGGAGAATAGAGAGGACGAGAACGATAAGGAGAATAGAGAGGACGAGGAGGATAGAGAGGACAATAAGGACAAGAAGGACAAGAAGGATAATAAGGACAAGAAGGACAATAAGGACAAGAAGGACAAGAAAGACAAGAAGGACAAAAACGACAAGAAGGACAAGAAGGACATAAAGGACAATAAGGAGAATAGAGAGAACGAGGAGGATAGAGAGGACAAGAAGGACAAAAAGGACAAGAAGGACCAAAAGGACAAGAAGGACCAAAAGGACAATAAGGAGAATAGAGAGGACGAGGAGGATAGAGAGGACAATAAGGACAATAAGGATAATAAGGATAATAAGGACAAGAAGGACAAGAAGGATAATAAGGACAAGAAGGACAAGCAGGACAATAAGGACAAGCAGGACAATAAGGACAAAAAGAACAAGAAGGACCAAAAGGACAATAAGGACAACAAGGACAATAAGGACAATAAGGACAACAAGGACAATAAGGACAAAAAGGATCAACAGGACTAGAAGGACAATAAGGACAATACGGACCAAAAGGACAAAAAGGATCAACAGGACTAGAAGGACAATAAGGACCATACGGACCAAAAGGACAAAAAGGACAAAAAGGATCAAAAGGACAAGAAGGACAATAAGGACAAAACACAGACACACCATCTCAAACACGAAGTATCGTTATATTATGTTTGTCACTTCCAATCATTTGAAAGTGCTGTCACTCATTATATACAACTTGCAGTGAATTCAGCAGTGTGAGAGTGAATTCGAAAAGCAGTTTTAATAAATAGCTGTGTTGGATCAAGTTGTATATAATGAGTGACAGCACTTTCAAATGATTGGAAGTGACAAACATAATATAACGATACTTCGTGTTTGAGATGGTGTGTCTGTGTTTTGTCCTTATTGTCCTTCTTGTCCTTTTGATCCTTTTTGTCCTTTTTGTCCTTTTGGTCCGTATGGTCCTTATTGTCCTTCTTGTCCTTATTATCCTTATTATCCTTATTGTCCTTATTGTCCTCTCTATCCTCCTCGTCCTCTCTATTCTCCTTATTGTCCTTTTGGTCCTTCTTGTCCTTTTGGTCCTTCTTGTCCTTTTTGTCCTTCTTGTCCTCTCTATCCTCCTCGTTCTCTCTATTCTCCTTATTGTCCTTTATGTCCTTCTTGTCCTTCTTGTCGTTTTTGTCCTTCTTGTCTTTCTTGTCCTTCTTGTCCTTCTTGTCCTTATTATCCTTCTTGTCCTTATTGTCCTTCTTGTCCTTATTATCCTTCTTGTCCTTTTGGTCCGTATTGTCCTTTTTGTTCTTCTTGTCCTTATTGTCCTTATTATCCTTCTTGTCCTTTTCGTCATTCTTGTCCTCTCTATCCTCTTTATCCTTCTCGTCTCCCCTATCCTCCTCGTCCTTTGGTCTGCCAAATCCTTGTTATCCTCTTGTACTCTTTATTCTTAATGTCCTGCAAGTCTATATTCTCATCCGCAGCTTGCCGCAGATACCTACTTAAAGGAAAAGTCTCGATTTGCCGCAATTGCAACCTCAGCATAGTATGTCTTTTTGCGCGGCGGCTGTGAGGGTGAGGGATATTGTCGTGTATTCTCGATGAGAATACAGCAAACTCAGCAAGTTCATAGAATACACTGCGTACTGATATTCTGACACCCCTCTTTTTTGGAATAATTCCTTTGAAAAAAAAGTAAAAGCACATAATTTGCAAAAAACGATGAAAAGTAGTTTCACACTTTATTAAGAAAAGTTGAAATCGTATGTAGTTTATGAAGAGAAAGGTTCTAGTATATACATACGAATGGTCATTCTTTCTTTTTTTAAAAATATTGTTATATAGAATACACGTGCATATATATATATATATATATATAAACCACACACATCTACTCAGCTGTTTCTATACAGCACATTCGAAAAAGAGAACGCGGATAGAAACACGAAAGAATATAATAGGATAAAAAATAACTGCCTGCCATTTTTAACGAAAGTATAACACACTTGTCAAACACTGTTCTGCGATTTCGATTTAATTAGTAAAATACACTAGTTCTATTGAAGGTTAAAAAATAAAATGGACTCGACTGTGTTTTGGATAACTCGCGAATAAAACAAGCTAGAGATCTGCGATCTTTACCATTCGATAATCCATAACTTACTGCATCTTTTCACAAGCAAAATGCTTTCGAAAATACTTCCCATAAACAGATTTTCAGAGGGATCGCTGGAAAGCTATTTCATAACCCGGAAACTTCAGAGTACCACTCCTCTTTTTTGGAGAGTATTGTAGACACACAGTACACACTGTTTGCTGCAGGAGCGTTAACGGTGGTGAATCATTTTTTTCTTTTCTTTAATTTCCGGGTCTCTCTCTATCCACTGTTATTTCTTAAGTGGATAAAAAGAAGAAGACGATTTATGGAGATATGTTTATATTGAAGAGAATGGAGAAGAAAGAAAGAGAAAGAAATACTAATACCATCAAACAGATTATCTTCCTTTAAAAAAAACATTCTCTGTTGTACGGTTTACTGCTGGGCCGCCATATCACTTTACTCTCTAAAACTGTGTAAAGCCTGATTTTAACAGCTTTAGTCACCCTCATCTTCTCACATCAATAAAATCTGTCGAACTATTAAGAAAAACGTGGCATTAACTCATCTTCTTCCACTGAGCCATCAGAACCAATTCTCTTTTTTTATACCCAACCCAAGTAAAACTATAAAGGCACTTTGACTTCTAAGATCATCTAAGTTTGGCTAAAGTTGGCTCACTACTTTAACATATAACGAGTCTAATTCTAGTAGTACACTTTCTTTCAATACGCGGTTTTCTGCGGCAAAAATAATTCAGACATTAAAATAAGTGAAATATTTATTTGTTAAACTCTAATAGAGTATATGACGTGACATTAAAATAGTAATATGAATACGAGAATGAGCTCTTTGGTTAATAAGTCAGTTTTCAATTAATCCATTGATTCAACAGCTTTATTTTGATCTTTGATCTTTTGAAGTTGTTGCTGTAACAATGTTCGAAGATCAGGGCTTAGAGCTTTTTTATCCAAAACTTCTTGATACTTTTCAATTGTGTATAATTCATCACTATGAACTTCTTTGATAATTGTGGTGTTATCCTTGCCACCAGTAAACAGTGCTTTGAAATCAATCAGACCACGATGAAAGTTGGCTGCTGTTGAACCAGATTTTGTTGGTTCGCCTGTGAGGAGAGTGAAACAAAAACGTTAACTTGTGAGGCGTGTGTAGAGAAAGAACACAACACCGTAACACAAAAGAAAAGCAGCGAGTACCAAGACTTTGTTGGAGACGTAGAATTAACCATAACCTGCGCTAGTTCTAAAGCA